CAGTAATAAACTCACTGAAAATCGTTAAATTTTGTCCAAAATTTCGTAAAAGCAAAAAAAAACGTCAAATTAGGTACAAAAAAAATTTTGATTGATTTTCACGAAAAAAATCATTTAAAATTTAAAATATTTTGCCAAAATAAAGTAGACAATCGCTAAGTTAGTTCTAAAATGAATGCTTTTTGCTCATTTTAATAAATTAATAGAGCGTTTTTTGTATAACAAAAATTACTAAACTTGAAAGAGTTTGTCAAAAGAAAGTAGAAAATAACTAAATTTGTCTGAAATCACTATTTTTCATAATGGTAAAATCGCTTTTCAGAGAAAAACACACATCAGTTCCGAAAAATTTTACAAAAAGCGTCAAAGTAGTTTTGATTATTTCGATAGTTTTAGAACATTTTAGCATTAAAACACACACTAAATTCTAACAATTTCGTTAAAACAATGCAAAAGACGCCCTAAATTTAGTCCAAAACTGTATCAAAACAAAGGAATAAAAATCGTTAAATTAGGTCCAAAACGCGTTATTGCTTATTTCAATAGATTATAATCATTTTTCACCAAAAAAACTTACTAAACTTAAAGAATTTTGCCAAAACTATGGACAAAATTCGTGAAATTGAAGTCTGAAATGTTTAGTTTTTTTAGTTTTTGCAAAACAAAAATTGCTAAACTTGAAAGATTTTTCAAAATAAAGTAAAAAATCACTAAATTAAGTTTGAAATCATCATTTTCCATGACGTTTATGTACCTATGGGTTTACCGGAAAAGCAGACGCTATTTCAAAAAAAAATTACAAAAATCGTCAAATTACGACTAAAGAGGACTTTGTCGCATGACACTTCGTATGTTAATCAGATGTCAAGTTGTTTTCTTGAATATAAACAGTAGATAAAAATTACTTTATTTCACTAAACGATAAAAGACTACTTTATCTACTGAAATTAGTAGATAAAAGCACTCTTTAACATTGAGTACAAAAAAAATATGAGCCGAAGCAATTTGAATTACTCTATCAAACCTTTCAAAACATCCTAAAATGACATGTTGTTGGTGTTAATTTATACAAATTGTTTACCACGGTTTCCTTTTATAAGTTACATAAAAATTATTTTGACATTAGAGCTTCATAGAAAAACTTTTTGATCTCGCTGTATCACTGCTGTCTCTTCAGTGTTTAAAGTATAAACAAATTAAAATTATTTCTTTATATCTTTTTAAATCGAAATTGGTTTTTATAGCTAATATGTTAATAAACTGGAAAAAATATCTGATCATAAGCTCGAGAGTGCACCAAAAGTGAAAATAAATATTTTCCCGTTAGAAAATGAGTGTTTTTCGCATAAAATGTGTTTGTCACAAGACGCGTCAAAATCGTTTACATAAGACCTTTCATTTTTCGATCTAATTGCGGCGTTTGATGTTCATCTCACTTTTACTTTTCCACCGAGAGCAATAACACTCCCCGACCTTGATTTGATAACCTCCGTCGTTGTTTGTGAAAATTTCGATTAGCGTCGTCGCTAAAACGACGAAAAAGTCATCAAATAATAACCCTCAGCGAGAAAATTAACTCTCACTCTCTCATCACACTTCGATTATTCCCAAGAAGGTGTTTCTCCGCCCCCGAATTAATCGGCCCTTCTCTTCACCGATTTGTCACGATTTTCATTTCAAACGGACCCTTCGTCGCTTTGTTTTATTGAATCGAGGACGCGATTTACCCCGCCATTAACTCGATTAGAGAAAATCGTAAATTATCGCGCTGCTTCGTGCCAACAAACAGATAAATCCGGAGTTTGACCGTGAAGTGGAGGCCCGATTTTGGAAATTTACATAGCGGACGCACGCACAATGCCCAATTAATCAATTTATTACAATTGGGCAATTTGGCCGACAATGAGAACGATTTTCGGGGCGAAGAAAAGAGGCCGGAACTAGAAGAATGATTTATGCTTCGAGGGATGATTTACGACCCCATCGACACCAAATTACAATTCGACACGAAGAATAACGACGCTTTGAGACTGACCTGAATAACCAACTGCTAAAAATATTCAGATTAACACGTTTTAATTCGAATCGCAGATGGCGAGGGCGATTCGAATTTACCGCCGCGGTCACGTGGAAATGACAAGTGACAAGTCATGAACTCATGGCAAAAATGTAGTTATACTCGTTTCCAAATTAATGTGCATCAAAGTAGTCGTGAAAGGGGTCATGCAAAAATTCAAAATTCCCTAAAAATTATTTTTTTAAATAAAAAATATAAACCCCAGGTAGCAAAAAATAATTAAAATTAACAACACAATTAACATAGGGTAGCAAACATAACAATTTTTGTCATTATTGATGTGATTAAATTTGTTCTGAATGACATTAATGACACTTTTTTTGTAAATCAGCCTTTAAATTAAGTAAAGATGCATTTAGACTTCTACAACCTACTTGATGCATTATAATGAAAAAGAGTACCTATATGTGTAATTAAGAAATAAGACACCGTGTTGTACAGGGTGTCCCAAGTTTTAAAGCCGACGTAAAAATAAATATTTCTAATTGATTAAAAAAGTATTTCGATAGTGTAAGTAGGAGGAGTAAAAGTGCTAGTTTATGTGGCGAAGCTGAACATTTATTTTGCCAAACGTAGTGAAAAAAAAAATTTCGAACAAGTTTATTAATTTAACGATTGATGACTAGTGCAGTTAGTAGTGTAAAATGTGGAATGCTGATGGTCTGCAATATACAGAGTGTCCCAAGTTTTAGGGCCGAGGAAAAAATAAATATTTCTAATAGATTAAAAAAAAATTTGATAGTCTAAACGAAAGTGGATTAAAAACACTTTAATTTAATGTGTTGATAATGTACAAAATTTTTAGCGTATTACGGTGAGACATTAAAAATTAAAATTTCAATTAACTGGAATATTTTCTACATGAAAAAATTCTTTGATTTTTTTCTGTAGTATTTGTGAAAATAGAATAATGATAAAGTTGATAGGTTTTGAATAATTAACATTTTAATATTAAAAATCTGAAACTTGGAAAATTTTCAATATTAAAATGTTAATTACTCAAAATCTATCAACAGCAGTTGGAATTAGAAAAAAATCAAGAAATGTTATCATGTAGAAAAGATTCCAATTATTAATTTTTTTTTCCAAATTTGGTATTTAGGGTCTCACTGATATACGCTAAAAATTTTGAACCATATTAAAGCATCCAATTGAAGTCTATATAATCCTTTGCACTAGCAATTTTTTTATCAATTAGAAATATTTATTTTTATGCCGGCCCTAAACTTTGGGGCACCCTGTATAACTAAAAGTGTGTTATAACCAACTAATTTTTCGGTTAGCAAAAAGCAATATTTCACATTTGTCATTTCGTAAAGTAGCTTGAAATTAAGACTTGGCACTTATCAATATTATTGAGAAAAACAATTCGTGATAACATTATTCAAGAAATAACTATTTAATCAATTTAAGTGGAAGAGTTATAAAAAAACACAATTCAACACAGTTATGAAAAAAAGCTTATTCCCTAATGGTAATGTATTTTTTCAATTAAATTTTTATTAAAATATGTACATAAAATTTCATTTAATAAAGTTATTGTCTGAAAAAGTCTTATTAGCTTTTTAATAATTTAATGGAAACTAAAATTATAGTAACTGCCAGCCATACAAATATACTCGTTTTCATATTAATGTGCATCGAAGTAGTCGTTGAAAAGGTTCATTTTAAGGTGGCAACCATGCGAAAATTCAAACAATCACAACTTCAATCTTCCTAATAAATTATTTTCTCAAATAAATATGTGCAACCCAAATTTTCAGATAGCAAAAAATAATTAACATAGAGTAACAAAGATTTTTGTCAGTATTGATGTGATTAAATTTATTTCTTAATAACGTTAATGGAACTTTTTGTGTGAATCGGCCTTTAAATTAAAGATGCATTGATGCACATTAATATGAAGAAGAGTATAGTCATTCTGAATACTCAATCTATTTAAAAATAAATAAAAAGATATGAAAAATTTTGTCAAAAATCAATACCCGCCACTGGGCTGAATTTTCTATTGTTACTATGACAACTTTTATTTCTATTACCATAGATACACACATATTTCAGTGCGTTTCTATAGCAACTATATACATTTACTAACACCTGCTTCTCAGTCGACTCGTCGAGGATGGTAAAAGAGGTATCAAAACTTTTCACCAAATTTCAAAAATTTTGAGCCTATTTGAATTTGAAGAAAAACAAATATCTGATTAGTAATTAATACATTTTTTAATTTGTTTTGCAAATGTCTAAAAATCAGTAAAACAGAAACATGTCTTGTATTGTTGTAATTCCAAAAGCTTTAACAAAAAAATAAAATTTGAAAACATTAAAAAAATCAATTACAAATCTTACAATAAATTTGATATTTAAAAAAATCCTATTAATAAACACTAAAAAGTATCAAGAGCATAAATAACAATTTTAATCCCGAGAATGTAGGTAATACCAGAGGTGACCAAAAAGTGCCGTGGGCATTTTATTTAAAAGATGATATTTATCCAGAGATGCATACACGACTTTTATCCCACCGGACTAAATTAATAATACCATAATAAAATAATAAATTTGTCAAATGCCAAATAATTTATCAAAATATTCACTTCATTCAGTTTCAAAAAGTTTATGTGTAAAGAACCCTCAAAAGAATCAAATAATTGTATTTCAGTTTATAGATTAAAAATGACTTTTCAAACTTTTGGATGTAACTCACAACTCTTTAAAAAATTACAATTTTTTTTATTGAGCGTCAAAATCGCAAAAAAAATTAAAAATCAAACAAATGTAGGTAATATTGAATTTTTTGATAACACAAATAAACAAATCAACGAGAAATTATTTACAATTGTAAATTTTGTGTAAATATAAACACGCCGAGTACTAGTAAAAGCCATAAATTTAGCAATTCCTAAAATAAGACTTGACTCACCTCTTGGTCGAATTGAGATCCGCAACAAGTAGCCACAATCTGAAAACAAAATAGAGTGATGACAAAAACGTCTGATTTAATTACGAAAATGCTTACAAAGTTTCCGAACTACGAGTAAAAAATCTTTCACAACTCGAATGAACATAATGTAATAATTTTCGAAGAAAGTAATTGAGAAAGTAAAAAATGTCGAAAGAATTCAAACTTACGCATTAATAACGGGCGAAATTCACATTTTTAAAAACCTGAAACGCAAAAACATCATAAATATTTTAATTATTGTATAGTTGACGCTTGGCTACATCCGTCCTTGATTGAAATCTCTTGGAGAGATCATCGCAAAAGTTGGATTTGGTCGAAAATTCGCAAATAATTGCATTATTTACGGTAATTGTTCGCGTCACGTTCCAACCATCGATTTCCTCTCGAAAGTCGATTGAGTGCGAAAAAAGGGAAGAAACTCGCGATGAGTAAGTGGATGGATGGAGTAATCTAGCACAAGACGCGATAAATGTTAAGCAATGTGAAACAAGAACGCACAATCGCAATAAACAACGGAAGGAGGAGGATTACGGATGCAGTTAACTCGGATCAGCTTCCACTCGGACTGGATTAGAAGTGACGTTTTTCCTACCATATAGGAGAGGAGGACTCCTGAAGACGATTAGGAGGCAGTGAGAGGATCGATGGAGGAGGGAACAGCAACTCGGAAGCAATTTGCTACAAGCCAATGCAAAATAATACGACTCTACTTCAAATTTCAACATATTTCTCATCTTTAAGTGCAGTATAGTAGATTTTTAAATTTTTAATATTCTTTTTTCTATTCTGCGTGTGAAAGAAAGCTTATTTCGATACCAAAACCGATGCTTTAAGGCCTAAGGGATCATTCCACGAAATATTTCAAAGTTTTTTTTCGGACACCTGTATTTACGTTTTTTGTAATTTTTGAAACATTCTGTTTTTATTAAATAAAAATTAGTTATTATTATTATTATTATTTATATCAAATAATAGATGTTTTTAACTGTAGTACATTTATTTTTCAAATAAAAAAAACAGGAAAAAATACCGTTTTGGAACATATTACATACAGGGTGCATAAAAAGTATGGATCCAAGCTTTTTTTCTATTCATATGCTTTCAGAAAATAATGATTTAGAAAAATTAAGGTGCTATAAAAAATGTATATGTGTTTTGAGAATGAGAAATTTTGTTTTGTTTTTGAGTTATCCGATTTTTTTTTGTCAAAATGACAACTTATATGATAGTTGTAACCATAACCTTCATGAAAAAAAAATGATTTTACAGTAGGTTGTCATTAACAAAAAAATAAAAATGCCGCAGAACTCAAAAACAAAAAAAAATCGAAAAAGTCAATTTTATAGCACTATGTTTCTTCAAAAAATAAATAATTTAAACAAAAAAAAGTGTTTTGTTCCATAATTTTGATTCAACCTGTATACAAATTATTTGATCTAAAATTTTTGAAAAAACAGATCACTCAAATTAAAACAAAAACAAAAAAAAATTCAAAATCAATTTTTGCTATTTTGCGTCTGTAATAAAATTTATTTGGATACCAAAACCGATGCTTTAATGAGCCATTTCAACACCAATTAGGGTGCTGAAATAGACTAGTGCAATTTACTTTCTAGAGGTTGGTAATGGTGATTTTCAGCGGCGTTTTGAGCGATATTAATGTGCATAAAATATTTACAGTATTCATTGTTAAAACAAATTTTTCAATATACTCAAGACCTGACACTTCGACTTTGTGATATTTACTATCAACCACCTTATTAGGACGAAAGTTCCTAGATTTTGAAAAATCGATTTTTATGTTAAAAAAAATACGTGAAACGCGTAAAATAAAAAAAAACATAAAAAAAACTTGCGCCATAAGTCATTTGTAGAAACTTGTTCTTTATAATCATGAACTCGTTCCACAAAACTTGCCTTACGAAATGCGTTGTTTAATATACTATTTCACTACGATTCGAAAAAGTACCATTATTTAGTAGTCGAGAAGTTGTGAAGTTGTTTTTTTTTCTCCTAAAAGTCAATAATCATTTTCATTATTGACCACGAGCAATAATGGATTAGAGGTGGGTAAATAGAGATATTGGAGTGTATTCCAAGGATACAAATATGTCTAGAATATTATTATTTAAAACTATTATCATCACAAGTACTAATAAAAAAATTTCAAGATAAAATTAATGCAAAAGCAAATATAAAAGACTTAAACTTCCTCATTAAAAAACATCATCAGTATAAACGCACCTCTAATTCTTCTAACAAATAGGTTTTGCACAACTTTTTAATTATTGAATACTAAATTTTTTTTTGACTATTTAAATTAGTTTGACGTATCCTTGTTATTGAAATTTATTTTTGATTATTTAATAAAAATCCTCCAACTCAATTATTAAATAATGCACTCCGCTACGCGTCGTGTGTCAAATTAATTTCGCCCAATAAAATGTCAGTTACAATTTTTCATTCCGACATTTAATTCTCCATATACTAATGAAAAAAATTTTGAAAATTGATAAAATTTCCGCTAAAAATAGACAATGAATGATCAGAACTAAAAGTTGTGTCAAAACTGGAAAACAACAAACGCAATTAAAACAAGCTGTGCTATTTTTTATCCAGTTGGTGACATTGAAAAAGCATTAAAATGCCCGTTAGTGCTTTTAGTTTGAAATTAACGGACTAGAAAAATTCACTTTTTATAATTTCTTAACATTTTTTAATGCCAACTGAAACGCGAAATGAAGTAGGAGTGATTAATAAAAATTAGAGAAATTCTTTAATTTAATTAACATAATTATACAGATTTAAAAAGTTGGAATGTTTAGCACATTGTTGAAAATTCTTATAACCGGTTTTTACCATTGAACCACTTATTAGAAACCATGAGAACTAATGACACGTCTGCGATAAAAACAAACTTGATTATACACGTTTGAGCAAAAATAGACCAACAACAGTCGTAATAAAGGAAAAACTTCCAATTTCCAGACAATAATGAGCCAAGTCTTGTTCCCCAGAGACTAATCTTCCGATAATTTCATATCTCTCAACTCATTACAACTTCCATGAAACGCAATTCACACTCTGCGTATGAAGGGTCAATACGCTGTTGTAATATTTGATGTTAGTTTTGGAGTTAATTGCGGGCTCCGGCTCAAACATGTTATTATATGCGACTTAGTGCGGCCTCAACAAGTGTAATTGACATGTTTACACATTTTTGACAGCTATAGGACAAGACATGACCAAAAATTTTAGGCTTTCAGAGAAAACTGAGAAATCAAATTACACAGGCCGACAAAAAAAAGTCATGTCGTGACAACTTGACAAATTTTATATCATTTTAAAAAAATCATTAATCAATAACTATTAGGCCGATTTCCTTCAAATAAAGACCATTCTAAAGGGATGGCCTTGCACTTTAGAACGATATAAAATTTGAAATTGAATATTAGCAAACTTTTCTTTGAACAGTGTTCCAAGAAGTTCGAAGTAAATCAAAATAATCTAAGAAAAACCCTACGAGTAATTTTTTTTCTTCGTCACCATCGTGTAGAGTAAGAATCCAAATTTTTAAAATAATATACCGAATAGTTTTTAAGATATGATTTTTTGAAGTTATGGTTTGCTAATCAAGCATTGCTCCATATAGGAGAAATACATGTTAATCTTACTTAAAATTGCATTTTTATAAAAGAATTTGTTTTAAAACTCTTCTTTTGCTTAAAAATGGTCAATTGCACCTTCTAAACTGTTGTAAACTGTTTGTTTACTTAAAACAAATAAAGAGTACATGCGTATTAATTAAAGCAAATAAAGAGTTTTTTGTTGTAAAAATGACCACTGATCATTGAGCAAAGAGAATCTAGAAGTTCAAGGCACGAGCCTTAAATGTAAGGGCAAATCTTTTTCAAATCAAATCACTTTCCATTCAGATTTCGACTTGTTCACTTTGTTCTAGCTTTCTGAACTTTTTTGAAAATGTTCTGAGCAAATGCTTTCTCATCACTTTCGAGTGATGTTAAATGCAATAAGTCACATGATTTATTTTGTTGCTACATTCTACGATTAGCTTCAGTTAGCTTGTAGGTAGTAGTTGTTGTGATAACATTAGTAGCAAGTGATAAAAAAGCATTTGCTGAGAAGATTTTCAAAAAAAAGTTCAGAAAGCTAGAACAAAGTGAACAGGTTGGAAACCGAATAGAAAGTCATTTAATTTGAAAAAGATTTGTTCTTATAATTAAAGCTACTGATTTAAACTTCTAGATCCTTTTTTGCTCAATGATCAGTAATCATTTTTAGAAAAAAAAACTTTTTATTTGCTTTAATTAGTACGCAGGTACTCTTTGTTTGTTTTAAGTAAAGAAACAGTTTTTTGTTTATTCTAATTAGAACAAAGAAGGTGCAATTGACCATTTTTAAGCAAAAGAAGAGCCTTAAAACAAATACTTTTATAAAAATGCAATTTTAAGTAAGATTAACATGCATTTCTCCTATATGGCGCAATACTTGAATAGCAAACTTTAACTTCAAAAAATCATATCTTAAAAACTACTGGGTATATTATTTTAAAAATTTGGATTTTTACTAACAAAAAGATGCTCTACACGATGGTGATGAAGAAAAAAAAATTACTCGTAGGATTTTTCTTAGATTACTTCGATTTACTTCGAACTTCTTCGAACACTATTCGAAGAAAAGTTTGCCAATATTCAATTTCAAATTGCATATCATTCTATAGGGCAAGTCCATCCCTTTAGAATAGTCTTTATTTGAAGGAAATCTGCCTAATAGTTATTGAGTAATGATTTTTTAAAGTTAAAGTATTTTAAATTCATTTAAATTAGAAAAAAAATATTTAGTTCAAAGTGTGTGGACTTTTTGAAAATTTTTTTAATGCATTTGATTTGTCTTACTGAGACGAATAAAATGATATAAAATTTGTCAAGTTGTCACGACATGACTTTTTTTTTGTCGGCCTGTGTTATGAATTAATCAAAAAACAGTCAGTGACCAAAAAGTTTGGTGCATTATTTGTGCGTTATATTGAAGCACGCAGTTTCGCTTTGTGCTTCAATATTAAAACATTACGTTTTAAACAATTCCTTCCCTACAATTAAAATTTCTCCCGCCAAACACCCAATTAAATTAAACCAAGCGACTTGATGCACGAGTGCTCTCATATACCATACAACTCGCTAATTACCGTTTTTTGTGTTTGTATTCAACTCCCACATAATTTGGCCCATTTTCCCCCGGAAAAAGTACCATCTGGTGATCGGATTAAACGGCTTGATTTACGTCCGCTATTGTTTCGTCTTTGTCCCGTGTTCGATTAGTATTCAGGGAGGTTTTTACTCGTGTAGTAAATGTTCCAGAAATGCGATTAGTCTAGCACCACCAAAATTTGAACATTAGTTGAATAAATTTTTGTTAACAATAGCAGTGAATGCCAATTAATTCGGCATTTGCAGCATCTTGACATTTCATTGTTGAAATTTGCGCAACATTTGCGATAATCAAATGAGCAAAGCATTTTTTGTTGCAACGATTC